CCTGGTCTCCCATGGGGTGCAGGGCCCAAGGACTTGGGCCATCCTCCACTGCACTCCCTGGCCACAGCAGAGAGCTGGCCTGGAAGAGGGGCAACCGGGACAGAATCCGGCGCCCCGACCGGGACTAGAACCTGGTGTGCCGGCGCCACAGGCAGAGGATTAGCCTAGTGAGCCGCGGCGCCGGCCAACAATTTAACATTCTCATAGTTCCCCAGTTGCCTCAATGTGGTTTCGTGTTTTTTGTTTTTTAAGACGTCTATTTTATTTGAAAGGCAGAGGGAGAGGGAGAGAATCTTGTATCCACTGGTCTACTCCCCAAAAGGCTGCAACGGCCAGGGCTGTGCCAGGCTGAGGTCAGGAGCCAGGAACTCCATCCGGGTCTCAGGTGAGTGGCAGGTGCCCAAGCACTTGGGCCATCTTTTACGGCGTTCCCCAGGCACATTAGCAGGGTGTTCAACAGGAACTGAAGCAGCCGGGACTCGAACTGGCATTGCAGGCAGTTTATTTTCTTAAGGAGCTAACTTGTTCCAGCAGTTTCCAGAAACACAAGATCCCCACCTCAGGTCGGAGGAGCCCCACTGGTACTTAGGGGGACAGCGAGCTGTGCTGAAGAGCACATTTCCTAGCGCACTTGGGGCTGGGGGCGCCGTGGGGCTCAGCGCGACCAGGGAGATGGGGGGGCTCCCAAGAGGGCGCCCCCCCAGGAGCAAGCCGAGCACCTGTTACTCTCTTCCTGGGACGTGGTTTCAGGTGCTCCAGCAGCTATTCTGGACCACGGAGTGATGTTGCATGTGGGAGCAAAGCTGGGATGGCAGACGGACAAACTTCCCAGCCCATTGCCGTCTGCAGTCTAAAATCGCTTAAGAGTAGGTTCTTAACACAAATCTTGGTTTCCTTTTTTTTTTTAATCTTGTGATTTGTTTGAAAGCCACAGAGCCCGACAGATCTCCCTTCTGCCCTGTTCACTCCTCAAATGCCCGCAACAGTCGGGGCCGGGACTAGGCTGAAGCTAGGAGTCTGTCCCACGAGAGTGGCAGAGACCCAGGGCCACCACCTGCGGTCCCCGGGATGTGCGCCAGCGGGAAGCTGCGATGGGGAGCGGACAGGAGACTCGAACCCAGGTACCGTGAGACGGGACACGGGCCTCCCAGGCAGTGGCTTCAGGCTGCACCGAACACCTCTTAAGGTGGCAGCTTAAACATGGCAGGCAGTAAGTCTGAGGCTCGGTCTGGAATTAGCACAGCAGCTCCAGGGAGCGTCGGCTACCTACGTGCCTAGTGACTCCCCAGATACCAAGCTAAGCACGTGCGGGATCGCGGATTCCCATCCAGGGCGGCGCCCCCCACCCCCACCCCCCAGCAGCCCCGGCCGACCCAGCCCCACCTCCCCAGGCCCGCTCGCTCCCTGGTCCCCGGGGGTCTCTCCGGAGCCAAAGCTTGGAGCTCCCACCCCGCCGCCCCTTCGCTCAGCTCTGAGCCCCGGAGGACGCCGTTAGTGCCTGTCCGTCTCTCCCCTCTGACGGGGGCTGGCGCCCCCTCCGCACCTGCCAGGGAGGTGGGTGGGTGGGCGGCGTGGCTGTGCAGGGTTCTCCACGCACGTCCCCGCCTGCTGGGGCCCTGCCCCTGCGGCGCGTCCATGCCCTGCGCCAACGCCTGCCCCGAGCGCCCCCTGGTGGCCTAGGCGGGGCTGAGCGTGCGCCGCAGTGCCAGGACGGCTGGCTCGGCCCGCAGGAAGCCTTACAGCGGGCAGGGCGCTCTGGGACACGGACTGCATGCACCTCCCTCCCTCCCAGACCCCGTCCCACCCCCAAATCCCCTACACGGGGAGAGGTGCCGGCTTCCGGGCCCCGCCCCCCGCCCTCCTGAGCGTTCCTGCAGCGCAGGGCTGCCACCTCTCCAGCAGGTGTACTGGAGCCACAGCGGGCTCCAGTGTTCTTCAGATTCGTTGTGATTTGTAGATACAGTTCTAAGGATATAATGCTATTCACGGCATATAACTTTTTAAAACTTCTATTTATTTGAAAGGCAGACTGCCAGGAGACAAGAGAGGCAGACATCTTCATCGGCTGGTTCGCTCCCCAAATGGCCCCACAGGCTCAATGAAGCCAGGAAGCTAGAACTCCACCCAGGTCTCCCTGGGGATGGCCAGGACCCAAGGACTCCCCTGCTGCCTCCCAGGTATTAGCAGGAAGTTGGACTGAAGGGAGGCAGCTGGGACTTGAGGACTTTCACAGCGTCAAATGGCAGCGCCACCGGCCGTAACACCCACACCCAAAGTATGTAATTTTAATTGAGCCCTTAAGATTTATTCTTTATTTGAAAGGCAGAGTTTAAGAGAGGGAGAGAGGGGCCGGCGCGCCGCGGCTCACTAGGCTAATCCTCCGCCTTGCAGCGCCGGCACACCGGGTTCTAGTCCCGGTCCCGGTTGCCCCTCTTCCAGGCCAGCTCTCTGCTGTGGCCCGGGAGTGCAGTGGAGGATGGCCCAAGTGCTTGGGCCCTGCACCCCATGGGAGACCAGGAGAAGCACCTGGCTCCTGCCATCGGATCAGTGCAGTGCGCCGGCCATGGCGGCCATTGGAGGGTGAACCAACGGCAAAAGGAAGACCTTTCTCTCTGTCTCTCTCTCTCACTGTCCACTCTGCCTGTCAAAAGGCTAAGAGAAATCTCCCATCCACTGGTTCACTCCCCAAATGACTGCAACAGGCTAGGCCAAAGCCAGGAGCCAGGAGCTTCTTCCAGGTCGCCTACGTGGTGCAGGGGCCCAATCATTTGGGCCATCTTCTGCTTTCCTGGGGATCGGAAGTGGAGCAGCCAGGACTTGAACCGGCGCCCATATGGGATGCCAGCATCACAGGTGGAGGCTTAACCTGCAGTGCCACAGTGCCAGCCCCTCAACTGAACATTTAAAACAAGAAGTTTTTCTTCAAAATTACTCTGGTTGGACTACATGTCACTTAAATGTTGAAACCTTAGCGTCCCAGTCAAGATGTGCTATGTGAAGTCAGTTAAATATCCCATTCATGTAATATTACAGGCTGCAACATTCAGATGTATTGAGTTAAACAGATGAGAGATACACACTCAAGTTTTCTTTTTTTTTTTTTTTTAAGATTTATTTGAAAGAGAAAGGGGGGGGAGGCAGAGAGAGGTTTTCCATCCACTGGTTTGCTCTCCAATTGGCTGCAACAGCTGGAGCTGCGCTGATCCAAAGCCAGGAGCTTCTTCTGGATCTCCTATGCAGGTGCAGGAGCCCAAGGACCGGGGCCATCTTCCACTGCTTTCCCAGGCTACAGCAGAGAGCTGGATTGGAAGTGGAGCAGCCAGGTTTCGAACCGGCGCCCGTATGGGATGGCAGCACTACCTGCTGCACCACAGCGCCGGCCCCTGCATACCTTCAAATGCAGGCCGGCAGACACCTTAGAGAAGCGAGGCTGAACTTCTCACAGAGGGCTGTTTGCTTCGCACTGGCGCAGGTGGGAGGGACGTGAGGCCAGTGGCAGTGGCAGTGGCAGTGGCGGGGCAGCCGTGCGGGCCGAGTGCTTGTCTTCGGGAGTCGGGGTCTGTGCCTGCCAGGTCTGTGTGGCACACGTGTGGGAGTCAAGTGGACACATGCGTCCTTCGTCCCAGACACACCTGCAGCCCACTCAGCGCTCCTGCCTCCTACAAGCAGCCGAGGCTGCCGCAGCTCTCTGATGTCGCACTGGAGAGCCGCCCACGGCTCCCGACAGCTGAGGCCGGTTCTAGGGCCTCGGCCGGGGCCGGGAACTACAGGGTCCTTAAAATCCTCTCTCCTGGTTCTAGGTGGGGAGCGGGACCCCGGGCCCGGTGTCACGGCAGCCTGCAGAGCCTGCCAGGGGGTGCTGGTGAGTACAGCTGTTGGGGCTCCAGGCCCCCACTCCGTTTTCAGGATGATGTGTGTCCCAGGTCCCCCCTCCCAGGAGAGGGGCAAGGCGTCAGGAAGGCAGTGGCAGAGAGGGAGGCTGGGGAGGATTCTGGGGGATCCCCTCCCACACCCCACTGAGGGCGCCGAGGTGAGTCCTGGGGCAGTTTACAAGCAGCTGCCCCGACTTCACGACCCGCGCATCCCCCGCTGAGCTGAAAACGCACAATGCAGGGCTCTAAGCTCCAGGGCTCTAAGCGCGGTCGGTCTCCATCCGGGAACCCCGGAGTCTCAGGCTTACTACACAGCGGCCTCTCCTTGAGCCCACGAGGCGCTCACCCAGGCACCGCACGGTTTGCAGGCCCGGCAGCGGGAGTGCGGAGACTGGAGTTCGGCTCTTTGAGGACCTCTGGCAGAGAACCTGTGAGGTCTGCCTTCTGAGCCCTGCGGGCAGCTAGGCAGATTGAGGGTCTACATCCGGGGGGAGGGAGTAGGGGCTCCCGTATCAGCCCTGGGCGGCATCACCGATAGCGTGCTGGCAGGTCCATAGGATGCTGGCCTGCTGAAGGAGAATCCATCAGGTTTCGGAGGTGGGGTGGGGGAAGAGTCTGGGCAGAGACCAAGCGAAACTGTTCCCTTTGTCTGAAGGACCTGCTTAGACAAACGGCAACAGCGCCCTCTGGTGGCCACCGAAGGCCAACGCTTCAGAAAGGACTGGCAGCGCTGGCTGAACCCACTGAGCATTGGCTTCGTCTGCAAAATTCACCCCAGGGGCTGCCGGGTAGACGGGCTCTGACAGAGAGCAGCACTCCCTGTGAGCCCCAGGCCCAGTGGGTGTCCCCCACTCAGCAAGAGTTGGCCAGGGCTGGAAGCTTCAGGCGTGGGGTGGACTTCACGGGAGGCGGCTTTGCGAGGCTGTGGAGGAGCGGCCTCAGCCTGCATTTGCAGTCAGGAGTCGTCAGCGCTCCTGGGACAGGGACCGGACTCTAGGCAGGGTCTCTCCAAAACTGATCCAGCATCTGCTCTGCAGGTCAAAATCATCAGGAGCCAGCCCCGCTGGCTGCCGAGAGGGCGCGTTCCGCGGGGCCTGTTAGCTTAGTGATGGAGGCCCAGCCGTTCGCCAAGGTATGTACACATTTTATTTAAAAAAGTTTACATTTTCATTATACACAACTATTAAGAGGTTATAGTCAGAGGCTGCGTTTGTCCTGGGGACAGGCATGCCCACGAGATCATCACAATGCGAGGGAAAAGGTGGAAGGGAGGAGATTGGGTGAGAAAAAATAAGCAGAAAAAAAGCTTAGATCTCAATTAAGGGCTGGTATGTCCCTTTTATCTCTTCAAGTATCACACAATATGTACCAAATACAATCAGTATATAATGGCCATTTCTTCCCAAGCCCACAGCCAAGACACGTATTTGCTAAATTAACAGGACTGGCCCTCGCTCGGGTGAGTGGAAACGGGGCTCACCTGAGGACTGACTATCGCTTCCCAAGGGGCACCCCCCCTCCAATGGAACTGCCGCGGTGTTCAGTAGCCACAGAAAGTACGAACATGGATTCAGAAGTCCAAAGAAATGCAGTTCTTTGCCCAATCAGAAACAATCTGATCTCCCTCGAGGGAGGGGATGAAATGACACTGGTGAGCTTCCGCTCGTGACTGCGTCACTGAGCCGCCGAAGGGCCACTGCCTCTTAAAGTCAAACACGAGGTTACAGCATCCGGACCCCGGGGGCAGGCTCAGGCTCTGCCGTGCCTCTCAGCTGTCCCAACAGAAAGCCTGGTGAGAGGCCAGGCTCAGGCCAAGGCCAGCGGGGCGCAGCAGGGGGCTTCCACCACCAGCTGGCTGCTACAGCAGCTTGGGAAGTGGCCGAAAAGTGCTGGGTCCCAGAGAGCTTTTATGGCACCGTAAGAGAACCATCTCACTTCTGTAAGATAAAACGCTGGCCGAGTTGGAACAGCGCCCTCCAGTGGGCGGCGACACTGCACGCAGCCAGGATGCCAACGCCCAGGTTGGTGGCCCTGGTACTGGGGAGTAGATGCCGCCGCCTTGCTCGTTGGGTGCCTGGCCGGAGCCTGAGCTCATTTACTTCAAGGCTCGTGCTGGTAGGGGGTGACCGTGGGCAGCGGGGAGGGGCCATGGTGTCAGTAACCCCTTCCTCTCCCACCTCCTCCTGGGGGCCCAGGCTCACAGCCAGGCCTTCTGCCCCTCTAAGTTGTTCTGTACTCCCCTCTCCCAGGTGTGGGGAAGGCTCCTGTTCAACCTCTCAAGTCCATTCTGCAGTGTAGAGGGGAAAAGCCCCACTGAGCTCACACAGGCCAGGCCTGGCCCACAGAGAGACTTGCACGGGACAGAGCGTGCAGTGCTGTGCCTTCGTCACTCAGCTCCCCCACCTACCCACAGCAACCCAGCACGGGGCGGCCGCCCCATCCGCTCTGCTGTTGGAGCTCCTGACCGGAGGCGAATGATATCTTTGCATTCGAGAAAAGTGGATTCAGGTGAGGGGCAGGCTGTCCTGAAACTTGGTTCTAACTAGCTGTTTTTGGACAAGATCAAAAGCAATTCTTATCTGGACATTATTTTTTTGAAAGGTAATTAGAGCACTATTGTTTATACAATATTGAAAAAATACATTTTTTTTATTGTTTGAACTCAAATCAGCACCCAGCACTTTAAGTCTACCCTAAATAGCACCTACGGTAAAAGTTACAGCACAAGCACACTGCTAAGGTCAGCAGGAAAGCGAGCCGGACGGTGCTGGCGGGGACCCTCCCTCCCGCGAGCAAGGGACGAGTTAAAGCACACCATCACGTGTTCAAGTTAGTTCTACCTTCCAACAAGCCACAAACGCTAGAGGGCGATCAGTACAGTTAACTAACCACAGCCCTACACAACCGCACTTCCCAATTTTAAAGAAAAACCTTTTCCTTCATGCCCGTAATTAACATAAAATAAGTAAATTCTTTGTATTTTTTTATTTAGGAAAATAATCATGCTAAAAGCAGGTTGTCCTTTATATAGATTCTCAAAGAAAAGATTGATTGATTGTGCTTTTTAAATAAAGACAGGGCGGCTTCCACCCTCATCGACTTCCGACTTCCGGAGCACAGCACTTCTAAACTAAAACCCAGAGAAAGGGAAGGTGAGCCCAGCGGGACATTCAGAAATTGTCTTTAGGATTGGCTGATTCTGCTCTTGTCCCATTGGCTGGAACAACACCAACAACACAACCACACAGGGCTGCAGCCTGAAACTCCTCCCACCCCTCCTCCAAGAGGCAGCCCGGGATCTGGGATCTGGGATCTGGCCGTCAGGGTTGGCCAAGCAAACATTCCAACTCCCTTCCTCTGTCTCTGCTTTCAGGACCTGTCTCCCTGCACCCTGAGCCCCTCCTTCCTAGTCAGCCATCCCTTAAGAAAAGCTTTTTCCACTTTGGCCACTTTGGGTACAAGAAGCTTTATTTATTCCAATTATTTATCTGTGTTACATTTAGAATGCACGTCGCGTCTACAATACCCATTCCCAGATAAGGACCAGGCTGCAGCCAGGAACGGCAGCAGAAGAAGAAAACCAAACCAAAACGCCAAGGAGCATGCCCCAGCCTCACAGGCAGGGCATGGCTAAATCTGTCACCTGTCTAAGCACAATTCACACACAACCCCCCGACCCACACAGAAACCACCACCCTCTAACGCAAAGCTCTCCACGCCGCCGGCCGAGGGGCAGCATGTGACCAAACCTCTTCCCGGTCCCTTTTGGGTCTGGCTTACCAGCTTGACCTCAAGAAAAACAATCAGGTTTTGAAAACACTTCCAGAAGGTTCTCCCAGGCAGAACGCTGTGGCAGCAGGGCCCGGCTGCGTGAAGGGCAGGAATCGACACGTAAGAATGTACTTCATGAAGTCTCGACCCCCCAGTTAGCTTCGTTTCCTACCATGACTGCACAGGCCGGGGGCCAGCGTGGGCCCACTGGGAGGAACAGCTCGGATTCCTACGTGGCTGGCTCTCAGTGTTCCCAAGGCAGACCTCTTTCTCCCCCAGTTCTTCCTGACCACTTCGAGAAAACACTATTCTGTCTGCATGTCCAAGTGCCGGCTGGTTTGGTTTGTTTCTTTGGAACCATCAATAAAAGAAGCAACTTCTTCCTGTCATTCTTACGTCTACCTATCAGAGCGGCTAGTTCTTCTGACAGTTCAGTAGCACACAAGCTGACTTGGCCAAACGGACTCATGAATGCATGCATTCGGACCGCATATTGCTACCAAAATGGAATGTGGGAATATGCTATGCACCTCCAGGTGAGAAATGACCAAGAAATCAAGATCTAAAGGGTGATATATAATATATATATATCAATGCTATTATTCATAAAAACCTTGTTTAGTAATAAAAAAAATTGCTTTGTTTAAATATGAATATTATAGTCTGCTTCTCATGGTTAGGAAATAATAGTCTTTCTGAAAAGCAGGTGCTTTTTCTACTACAACTCCATGTCCTGGGCCTCGTCTTCCGAAAAGTCTGACATTGAACTCTCCGACGAGCTGTCCCCGGTGCCCTCTTCCTGCTCTTTCAGCGCCTCCTCCGTGGCGTACTTCTGGATGTACTCTGCACAGGGCGGGGAGGAGAACACGTGGGCAGTGAGTGGCCGGGCACGCGTGGACTGGCTCCCACTTACCTTCAGCGCGAGGGGGAGCCATCTCCGGAGCGGAGTCCACGCATCTTGCCCCCGAGGAGGAGGGACGGTCAGGAGGGGCCACGCGGAACTTCCGACTTGCAGGGGAATAATAATAAACACGGCGCCCACCCACGGTGTTGCTACTTTTTAAGACTGATTATTTGAAAGGCAGGAAGGGAGACAGAAGTCTTCCACCTGCAGGTTCACTCTCTAAATGGCTGCAATGGGCTGGGCCAGGCAGAAGCCAAGAGCATCCTCTTGATCCCCCATGTGGATACAGGGGTCCAAGCACTTGGGCCATCCTCTGCTGCTTTCCCAGGCACATTAGCAGGGAGCGGGATGGGAAGTGGAGGAGCCAGGACTCGAACCAGCGCCCATAGGGGATGCCTGTGGTGCAGATAGGGGCTTAATCCACCGTGCCACAGTGTCGGCTCCTCTTTTTTACTGTGTAAATACATAATTCACCACCCAGGCTGGGACTAGTCATTTATTAGGAAATCTCCCATCCTTTTCAGATTTGCAGTTATATAATTACATCAGCTCAGCTCTGCTATTTTCGAAACAGAGCTGAGTCTCAGCAGAGCCTGCCCGTCAGCTCTGGAGCAGCTGGCAAGAGCAGTACCGCAGCCGGCCTGGGACGAGCCGCCCTGCGGAGACAGGCTGGCCCGAGTGCTGGGACCGTGCACCGTTCCCCCGACTCTGCTCTTAGGAACAACTGTGTTTATGCAGCAGACACCGTTCCCCAGTCAACAGCGCCTGTGTGTGGCAGCTCAGAATCCTGTCTGGCGCACGAGGAGGACGCGCACACGCCCTCATGTCCTCATGTGCTGGCCAAGTAAGGGAATGGACCCAGCGGGCCTGCCCGGACCGAGTAACCAGGCCAAGGGCTCTGGCTAAGAACATTCTTAAAACTGTTCTAAAGGGTTCCTGAAAAGAATGTGTGACAGGTAACTTAGATTCCCTTCAAATTCATTAGAACAACTTTATACTGAGATAAAGACATTCAACCAGCCATGGCCAGGTAGGAAGTTACCTTTCAGCGAGAAATGTTTTGGTGCTGTAATTTGATAATATCACCTTCTTTAGTATATCCCAGGGAACAAATGCTTAGTAAGCACTTACTAAGACAAGGCTTTCAGGGAGAGAGAAATGAAAAGCAAGGTCACTAATGAAGAGTCAGCGGACGAAGCTAAAAGGCAGGAGCCGCAGAGGGCCAGCAGGGGGAGGCAGTCGCAGAAGGGCCCTGGCTGAGGGCCCAGGAAGGCAGCCACAGCCACAGTGAGTCCCAAGCCTTGCCAGGCTTAGCTCACAAAAGCTAAGAGGTTGAGATGTTAAAACACAACACTCAGAACTCTGTGTCTTCCTTCTTAAAAGAAAAAAGACTAAAGAAATAAGGCAGAATGTAAAGGTTTTGCTATAAGTGGATGGTCATGGTTTTTCTGCATGTTTGAAACTTTCCATGGCCAATAAAGGAAGCACACAGAGTTCTAGCTTGATTTGTCACAGGCTGATGTGTTTAGAAGAGGAAAGATGATTAATGCAGTACCAGAGAGCCCTGCTCTGAGCAAGGCAGTGACAGCTTCAGTTCTGCAGGCTGTCCACTATTTAAACAGGTTTCCAAAAACGCACAAGACAGCAGCAACTAAGTATGAGGACAAGGCACACACACCGAGTCCTGCCGTGAGCTGTCAGGGTGGGGGGGGTGGCCACACAGATGGAAACGCTACACCCACCTGGAAATCACCTACCACGGAAGCTGTGAGAGGTGAACGAACTCCCCGAGGGGCGGAGGACAGGAAAGGGAACCCCAGGAGCAGCTCTTAGAAGAACACTCAGGTTTACACGATGGAATCCCAAGTTTTCAGAGAGGTAGGGCATAAAACAGCTACGCTGCAGAGATGCCCATGCCATGGGACTCGAGGGAGGGCCAAGGGATCAGGAACTGCCGAGATCACAGATCCAGCAGGTGCACTGGCAGAAGAGCAGGTGCATTTTGAAGACTGTTAATGTCTCTCCTTGTTGGGGAAGGTTTATGCAGCTAAATTTTCACTGTGAAAAGTTCTCCCACATGACGATCTCAAGGACATGCCAGCGGACACTGGTCAGCCCACATGGGCCCTCAGAACTTCTGCAGTCTTATTTTAATGAAGTTCACTTCCTGTTAGCCTGTAAATTGTATTAAGCACAGGAAAACAGGGTTCCAAATCCTAAAAGGAGGAGCAAACCAGTGCCACCACCACTCCCACTGACGCTGGGGTCCACTACTATCTTATTTTAAGCTAGAGGAAAGTTATTTGGAGTTAAATAACTTAGGAAGGCTTTTAAAGCCTCCCCGAATTAAGTTCTTCTGACTCCAGTTAGCCCATCTGCCTCTCACCTTTAATTTTCTGCTTGTATTCTTCTGGCCGGTGGAGGTACATTGCTGCAGCATCGCCGTTCAGAGGATCGATGGGGTTGGGGTAGGCCAGCAACTGGGGCAGGAAGGACTCAAATATATTGGTAAGATCTGAAGAGACAGACAGACACGTCAAGCCTAGGAGCATTCAAGTTCACCTACAACTCACTTGCATTCAGTGGTCAAAACTACTTACCTTTGTGGGTGCTTAACTACCTGGCGACCACTTATTTCCACAGGCATATTTCCACTGCCTAGGACCTGTGTTATACAGTCAGTTGAATGCTAACGGAACATTTAATCTTAATTAGAAGAACCAGATAGACGTACCTGATATTTGTCACAATTTAATTCACTCCATTTACCAAACCAAAAAGATTTGGAAATACTACATATTTACTACAACAGGTACTCTAATACTCTGTAGCACCTTACATTCTTATAAAATGAATAACTGAACGGGTCATCTTCTATAACTCCCAAAGCTCCCTATTGAAAAAGCATTCAGCTGCCAGCTCTTAAAAGAATTGAACAATTTTACAGGCTTGACATTTAATTCAATTCTCCTAACAGAGGTCAATTAAGCAGTTTTTCAATCATCCTGAGTAGTGATGACAGGAACCTATATGGACCTGCCAAAAACTACATCAAATCAGATTAAGCACCAATCTACTGCATTTCTTAATTCCATTCTCAGCCAGGTGTGACTTTTCCAAGTGGCACTGTCTGGAGACCGTGCTGTCACAAACAGGGCTACCATTGGCACCAGTGGGTAGGGGCCACGGGGGCTGAGCAGTGCCCACCCCCCATGATTATCTGGACTAAAATGTTAGTAATGCTGAGCTTCAGAAATGCTACTCTAGAGAAAACCTTTTTGTAAAGGGGTCAAATGAAATACTTCAGGCTTTGTGGACCACATTACAGTCTTCGTTAAAACTACTCAACACTCAGCTATGCCCCTGTAGCACAAAAATAGGCAAAGACAAGAGGTACATAAGTTGGTGTAGCTGTGTTCCAACAGACCTTTATATGTAAAAACAGCCACAGTTAGCCTAACTTTGCCTAGAAGACCCCACACGTGAGAGGCCTTGCTTATACTGTAAGGTTAAGCAATGGAACAGAGAACAATCCAGAAAGCACAGCTCCGCAGAACCTTCTGCAGTGGTGGAATGGCTGCACCAGCCACAGCCACAGCCTGCAGAAACATGGCTGCCGGGATTCAGGAAACGAACTTTTCATTAAAAAGTGGTTTTTTTCTCCTAATTTTATTTGAAGGGCAGATCAGAGAGACAGATGGAGAGACTGGTTCATTTCGCAGATGTGTACAATAGTTGAGGCGAGGCCAGGCCAAAGTCAGCAGCCCCAAAACTCCATCTCAGTCTCCCCTCTGGGTGGCAGGGACCACGTACCTGCTACCGCCCAGGGTGGGCATTAGCAGAAAGCTAGACTGGAAGCTGAGGAGAACTACTACCCAATGTAAAGAGCCACACGGGGGTAGGAGCCCCTACATCTGGGGAATGGCGTGATGGTCCCACAGCAGCTGGCTCAGCCCTATTCTCATGCACCAGATGTCGACCCTGACCTCTGACTGGAAATTACAGACCTGTGGCCGTCCACCCAGGGCTATCTCACCTTCACAAGGCCAAGCCCAAAGACACACATTAGAGGAAGCTTCCCACGTACCAGGACACAAATGTTGAAAATCCAAATCAGAAAAGCAAAAACAGAAACAACCTTCTGAGATAAAACCCAAACCATATGCCGTAAGATTTTTCCTGCCATTTATTTTATAATTGCTTTAAAAAAGTAAGCAACATGTTCAACAAATCAACAATTATTTGCAGCACAAAACCATTAGAAAGTGTTTTTTAAGGGCTAAGGAATAGAGGAAGCACGCTTAAGGGCTTCAACGCTGGGTGGAGAAAGGCCCTACAATGGTATCTACATACATTCTCTAAATTACTACTAGGTATAGTATGCATGCAAAAGAAGAGTGTTTAAAATTTTTAAATTTATTTTTATTTATCTGAAAGGTAGAGACACAAAGATACATAGAACTCTTCCATTCACTCCAGATGCCTGCAACAGGTAGCACTGGGCCAAGCCAAAGCCGGGAGCCTGGAATTCAATGTAAGTCTCCCACACAGGAGCAGCAGGGGCCCAAGAAGTTGATGCACCATCTGCTGCCTCCTAGGGTGCACATTAGCAGGGAGCTGGGTTGGAAGCAGAGCTGGGATCTGGATCAGGAACTCCAATGTGGGGTGCAGGCGTCTCAAGCGGCATCTTTAACCATGCACCAAACATCTATCCCAAGGTGACTGTTTTTAAAAGTTATCTCAAGGCAAAACCTTGTAATTTCTACTTTTTACACTTCAATTGATGCTCTGCTCATTTTACACTTAAAGATAACATTTTCCTATAGATGTTCTACTTGCTGCAGTCAGGAGTCAGGGACTCTGGATCTCCCACGTGGGTGCGGGACACAAGCACTTGAACCATTTTCTGCTGCCTTCCCAGGTGCATTAGCAGGGAGCTGAATCCAAAGCAGAGCAGCTGGGACTCAAACCAGTGCTCCAGAAGCCAGCACTGTGGCATACTGGGCTAAGCCTCCACATGTGGTGCTGGTATCCCATATGGGCACCTGTGCTAGCCCTGGCTGTTCCACTTCCAATCCAGCTCTCTGCTATGGTCTGGGAAACCAGCAGACGATGACCCAAGTCCTTGGGCTCCTGCACCTGCGTGGGAGACCTGGAAGAAGCTCCTGGCTCCTGGCTTCGGATCAGCCCAACTCCAGCCACTGTGGCCATTCGGAGAGTGAACCAGAGGCTAAAAGACCTTTCTCTCTGTCTCTCTCTAACTCTACCTCTCAAATAAAAAAAATATTAAAAAGAAAAAAAAGACAAACAACCTGTGCTCCCACATGGGATGCTGGCAGTGGCTCAATGCTGCACCACAACACCGGCCCCTTCTTTCCACTTTCATGTATGTTAAATATCTAAATATCTAATAAAACATGAAAAGTCTGAAGGATGTTTCTTTCCTTCTCTTTAAGTAGGTGAGTTATTAAGGCAGTGGTAGAAAACACACAAGCTGGGGCCAGCGCTGTGGCATAGCGGGTAAAGCCGCCACCTACAGTGCCTGCATCCCATATGGGTGCTGGTTCAAGTCCCGGCTGCTCCACTTCCAATCCAGCTCTCTGCTATGGCCTGGGACAGCAGTAGAAGATGGCCCAAGTCTTTGGGCACCTGCACCCATGTGGGAGACCCGGAAGAGGCTCCTGGCTTCAGATTGGTGCAGCCTGGCTGTTGTGGCCATTTGTGGGGTGAACCAGTGCATGGAAGACCTCTCTCTCTGCCTCTCCTCCTCTCTCTGTGTAACTCCAACTTTCAAATGAATAAATCTTTAAAAAAAAAAAAAAAAAACCCACAGTTGTAAGCAAATCAAGAAGAGTTCTACCGACTGAACGTGACCCCAGGGCAGAGTTACTCAGAGTTCCCTCAGCAGGAACATCAGGCACAGTGGGCAGCAGGTCAACCGTGTGCAGCACTTCCTGTGCACTGGGTACTCCTGTGCACTCTGCACGCACACTCCTAGCTTCCATACAGTCATTAAGGTAGTTATCATTATGTCCATTTTACATACAGAGAAACCAAGGCACACAGAGGTTAGTTAACTCGCCTGAGAGGCAGGATTTTTTTTTTTTTTTTTTTTACAGGCAGAGTGGACAGTGAGAGAGAGACAGAGAGAAAGGTCTTCCTTTGCCGTTGGTTTACCCTCCAATGGCCGCCAAGGCTGGCACGCTGCGGCCGGCGCACTGCGCTGATCCGATGGCAGGAGCCAGGTGCTTCTCCTGGTCTCCCATGGGGTGCAGGGCCCAAGGACTTGGGCCACCCTCCACTGCACTCCCTGGCCACAGCAGAGAGCTGGCCTGGAAGAGGGGCAACCGGGAAAGAATCCGGTACCCCGACCGGGACTAGAACCCGGTGTGCCGGTGCCGCAAGGTGGAGGATTAGCCTAGTGAGCCGCGGTGCCGGCCAAGAGGCAGGATTTCAAAGCTGGGCTTACGGGGCTGGTGCTGTGGCGTAGCAGGTTAAGCTTCCGTCTGCAGTGCCAGCATCCCAAATGGGTGCCAGTTTAAATCCTGGCTGTTCCACTTCTGATCCAGTTCCCTGCTAATGCGCTTGGAAAAGCAGTAGAGGGATGGTCCAAGTGCTTGAGCCCCTGCACCCACGTGGGAGACCTGGAAGAAGCTCCAGGCTCCTGGCTTCGGCCTGGCCCAGCCCTGGCCATCTGGGGAGTGAATCAGTGCACGGAAGAACGCTCTGTCTCTCCTCTGTCTATAATTCTGCCTTTCAAATATATAAAGTTTTTTTTTTTAAAGGCTGGGCTTACCTACTATGCTGCCTCTATTAATGGACAACATGGTCTCAACTGTCATGATGGCACTGCTCACAGCCCTGCACCAACACCATGCACCCATACTGCACATCTCCCAAGTGCAAGCCAGAAGGCAGAGCCCTACGTAGAGAACGTGCAGGCATTCCAGGGCCTGCTTCACAGAGGCCGTGTGATGTCTCTGAGTAGCTCACCGGAGGCAGGACCCAGGCCACACAGACTCCTGCACACTGCGATTACAGGAGACGTGCAGGAGGATGTGCTGTGGACTGCCCCCCTCCCCCCCCAACAGCAACGAAACCTCCCAGGACAAAGGAGAGGCTTCGTCATCTTTAAGTAACGTTCAGAAGGGCTCCAGGGCTCAAGAAATACTGCAGACCACCACTGTATCACTAGGGGTCTCATGGTCCCAGGAAGAGACTTTTATACCCTCTCCTACTATCTTTAAGTTTCCTCAAGCTACAGTAAGTTGCTTTGCCTACACATATGTTTCAAACAAATAAAAGAACCCTTAATTACTGGTTTTCCTTCCTGTGCTCACACATTTCGGATCCACATGTACAGATGGGCTGAGTCACCCCTGAGCCTGCAGTTTCGGGTGAAGATGTCAGTGTCTGAGGCCAGCACGTTATGGCCATGGCCACCTTAGGGCGGTAAAGCATTCCTGCACGTGGCTGCCAGAGTGACTTCGAGGCAGGGGCCTCCTGTTAGGGGCC